GGCATGATAGGATGCAACTGGAAATGCGAATAACCCAGGGCAGAAGGGGAGATACCACAATTGTTTAGCAGAAGTATGGTCAAAGGATGGGCTTCACTTGTCTCTTTGACGAGTTGCTGTCTGGTGCTAAGAATGGCGATACTCACTGATTATGCCGACTACGATGCCGGTGAAACGTTTGGGAATGTACTCCGTCTATGGTTCAACTTTGGAAATGATCATGCAGACAATGGACCCCGGACTAGGTGTGTTCCAATAAGTCTTCCTACCAATATGACCATGTTGCGAAAACAAGGTCAAACACCCTCTATCAAACTTTTTAGGTTTCAATCATTCCACTCATCGGATTATTTATTTGCTAAAACCGTTAGTCGTATTCCGCATTTTTATTGTTGGTAAAAGTATGCATGGTATGCAGTCTGAAATATTCTCGGACGCAAAGGTAATATTTTTTCGTACATATCTCGAGCTTAATCCTTACACTTCTAATGTGACAACTTTTCTCTTTATATATATACTATTTGGGGCTATATTTTTAGTATCGATCTACTTTCCAACCATAGCGGAATTTATTCGCCTAGTTTCGCCCAACCACTAAAGTAATATTGATTCCTTTTGGTTACTTAAACCTTGCCTTCTTTCTTGCTTTTCCTTTTTATTTACGTTTCATTTCATATGATTTTTTCCCCTCATTACACACTGTATATTTCGATCATGAAATTTACCTTTTATGTTTTCACATTATTACAGAGTATGGATATCGATGCCTTTGAGGAAGCTCTGAAGAAACTGCGCTTAGAGGACTTTGTTCCGTTACACTCAGCTTTTTCTACTCGAGTTCTTGGACTGAAACCTGGACAACGGGCTCTCGTTATCAACGGCCGGGTATATCAACTCCTTGCGATATTGTGTTTTTTTCCTCTTTCAAATAATTTGGGATTTTCTCCTTTCTAACTCCCCGTATACCTCTTACTTCTCTTTGCTTGTCTTTCTGAAACTTCCTGACAACATTTTATTTCTCAACATCCTTTAACCTGCTTACACATTCCTTTCACAGATATTGGGCCCACTGGGACCCGAAGAGTCCTTCTCTACAGGTGACTTCCGTCTTGCTGAACAAATCACTCTGTCAGGAGGAGCTCGTTCGATCAGTGTCCTTCTTTCTCGCCTTTCAAAGTCTGAAACAGGGGCTTCCGGGCATCCAGAACTCTCAGAATTGACCTACCGCGTTCATGCTTTGCTAAAGGCTAATGAAGAAACTTCCTCTGATCTTGTGACCAGCAATGGCATGGTAAACAGTTATATGCTTATTTATTATGCTCTTAGTTAAAGGAATGAATAAAATCAATGAAATGTATTGGCTTTTTTATCTGAAATAATAGCCGCACTTTTTTAGTCTATCTTACCCTCTGGCGACACAATTATTTGCCAGACTTCAGTACTTTATATAAGTGGGTTGACCTCGTTGCCGCAACTTGGTCTTGTTGTCAGGGCGAATTAGTAGAACACACCTAGTCCGAAGTCCTCTGCCATAGTAGTTATCATAATTCCCAGCATTAGACAGTGGACTTGGTACATTCTCAAACGTTTCGCCGGCATCGTAGTCGGCATCATCAGTGAGTACTGCCATTCTCCGCACCAAGCTACGAATTCGTCAGAGGCTAGTGATGTCAACCCCTCGACCAACATTCTGCCTATAACGGTTACACTATCACTCCTCTTTCTGTCCTGGCCTATCTATTTACTCTTTACCCTCTTATCAAACTCCCGCCCTATCACAACTTCTAATTTGTTTACATTCCACTAGTCAAAATGTGTCCTTTTGTGGCAAATCTAGTGTGACCTCATCACGCTTGCTATTCACCCTGACCCCGTCTCTTTCAATCGGCTAATCCGATTCGGGCATCCAATCCGGATCACTTTCATTGTCCCGTAGATCCGTTCATAGTCTTTCTGGTTAACAAATTTCACTCGGTCCCAGTCCCAGTGTGCGTTTGACTCCGGACGCTATTTCTCAAGGCTCTAGAAGCACGCACACTGCAGTCTCACCTAGCAGAGCGCATAGGCTCTGATTCCCTTGCTTGCAGATATCAGGCTTTCCCTTCACGGATCGTCTTTTTGATTAAGCATGTGTAACATGAGCAAACTTTGGACGCCTATCCCTAATCCTAGTCGCATGCGGCATCTCACGTGGATTTCTAGTACCTCTGGGGCATAACGCCAAATTTCTGTGATGGTTTGCTTATCCATCTACCTAGCTTCTTACTTCCAGGCCCCTAAAGTTGTACTGATTTATTCGAAATGGACATTACTCACTGACGACGTCTTCGCTTGACTGCCGAAACTTCCCGCCTCCAACTTTCCTCATCGCGCTCTCTTGCTCCGGTTAGCGATAGATCCCTGATCCAAGTGTATCCTTCTTGCTGGTCTTGCTCTATTCTTGTTTTCCCCGAGTTTGCTTAAGTAGTAGGCAAAGTTATCGTGAACTCTATCTTTCTCCAATCTCCTGTTCATTAGATTTTTTCCCCTAGGATGTCAATAGCCTCCCTTATCTTCCGCTTTCTTATGTTTTCACCGTATGAGGTCCTTCTTTCTGTTTCCTTCCAGAGCCTACGCAAAATGAAAGGATGGACAAGTTGGAGTGTTCATGAGTTTAGTATATGTCATGCGGCGCCTGCAAACAGAAATATATTGACGAAACAGGGATAAAAATTAGCATACGAATCAAGAAACCTCAAAGTCTCGGCAGGAAAATGGATAGCGAAATATCAGAGTTAGCGGAACACATTTCACATATTGGACACGAGATCAATTGGAAGGCAATCTTTCAGTTAAAGTCTCTTGCCATTTTTATTGTCTTGCTAAAGAATCTATATTGACTTCATTATTTTATTGCCTGACATCACCCATTAGGACTTGTCACCTATTTATTAATCTACATGCATCGTTTCTTATTAGGACACTAGGTCTTCAACATGCTTGAAGTTTGAGTATGTTGAAGTCATAGAACACGATATATATATATATATATCGGTAGAGAGATAAATAGATGGATAGAGATTCCAGCTTTTCGCATATGTATTAAGGGCAAGTGAATCTTCACTCAACATACCTGAGTAAAACTATTTTTGATTGCGTTAAATAGGTTTGTTTGAAAAGGTAATAATAAGAGCACTATACGTCTTCCATTATCTTACAAATTATTATTGCTTATATATATATATATATAATTATATGCGATTTAAATAAGAATTATTAATCATTTTATACCGTAAGGAAAATGATGTGGATACTTTTCTTCACTCCTATGCATTAGATTACTTACGAGGGAATATCTCTTGGCGAGAATAATCAGCGCATGTATTTCACTGATCTCCCCAACCATTTGACTGGACGGCTTCAGTGGAAACCACGAAGGGCAATCGATCAGCCCGTCTTCCAAATAATGGCTCTTATTGACCCGGCCTCACAGTCTGCTCAACGCCTCTCCCATGTTCTGCTGACACTCTATGAAGCACTTCCTTGCTCTGTGCAGATCGTTCTTAATCCTGTTACAACCCTTTCTGAGATGCCAATCAAGAGGTGACTATCGGGTTGTGATGGCTTTAAATAAAAGCATGGTTCACCCTATGTTGTATAAGATGATGTAGGGTCTGATAGTTGAATTTACTACATTGACTTAGCAGGTCTCACATTGCTATTTAATAGCGCACTTTTTTTCATGCAAGCCGTGCTAAAGCCTGCCACTCCTTTCTGAGGTACTGACCTTGAGGATAATATTTGCTTCTGATTACTCTAGTTTGGCTTCGCCTAACTCATTTGAAACATTTAGCTAATCCAGAATGCTATTGTGTAGCCGAAATATTTTAACATAGAAATTTAGAGCTAAAAATTATTCTGAGTGCTAGTAAAGCCTCCTCTTCCCAATTGGGTTTTTAGGGGTGTATTTGGTCTTAGACTTATCAAAAATATGACATCAGTCTCTATGTACCTGCAATATATACTAGAAGCAGCACCTTGGTTGGCATTTACAATTAAATATTATTTATTTGCATTGCATACACGAATTATAACCTAGCTGATTCTTTGCATAAATAACCTATAACTATTATAACAAATAACTTAGTCTCTAATAAACACTAATCATAGTCTAAAAATTGACTATACAAACTCCTCACATCAGCTCTTTTACTGCCTATTTCTGTCCTCTTGATTAAGGCCAACTTGGTTCCATATAGTATATTCATCTTCTACTTATTATGCTGTTCTGTTTTTTGTTCATTGTTGAAAATTGTCTTGTTTATGAATAAACCACAAAAATTGAGTCTAAAACCTAATTCAGGACTATTCTTACCTAGATTACTTGGATGAATCAATGCTTATGTTTACTTGAGTAAAATCAATATCCCTGTTACCATTCTAATTTAACTTTATGGGTTTGCTTTCATTTATTTGTTGAAGCTCTAACGGGTATTAGAATGTATAGAGCTAGATATAAGATATTTATTCTTACAATAAGTGACGAAACTGCTTGATCTCTTTAACTTCCAGTTATGAAATCTGGATAGAACATAACTTGACCTAATGGATTTTTAATGGCTTAGCCACATTTTCTCTAGCTTAATTCTACCGAAAGAAGATTGGGTTGGAGAAGTGAAGACTCCTGGATTGGGCGAAGATATTCTTGGCTCACCTTCCTGCTATTCCAATGAACCTATTCTAACTTTTCGTCCGTCATTTTACAGACGTTGTCAGAATGAAAACTATACTCTATAGACAAACGCACAATATGCTAGACTTTAGGCTAATCAAAGCTTTTCTTACCTTTACCTCGACCTGTGCCCTCTTGATCCTACCAGTTAGCCTGTAATACCTCTCGCACATTTTCCAAACTTTGCTCATTTTACTCAGGATTTTGTTAGTTTTTATTATTTTTATTGATTCTTGTTACAATTATGGTATTTTATCTGGTTGTAAAGTCTTCCTATCCTGCATAATATGTTTTGAATAACTTTATCCGATGCCATGCAGGAGATTTTGCATTCAAATATGTGTTTCGACGGGCTTCCCTTAATCAGAAGTCGCCACATGAGCCATAAACCTTGCTCTAGCCCGATTCAGATAGAGTCCACAAACACTTGATTAGACGGCATTATTAATGGCTCTTGGTATGTCTTTATACATGTTTATAGGATCCCATATCATGACTAGTATTCCCACGTTTTTTTTAGACTGACGGACAAGCAACCTCCAGAAGCTGATAGAATAGATACTCTAGGTAGATGTTTCGGTTGAAGTGACATGGAGACCTTATGGAACGTACCTAGTCCTACGTCTTCTGTCATAGTATTCATGAGGATTTCCGGCATCGGACCATTGACTTATTACATTTTCAGACGCTTCGCTGGCATCATAGTCGATACCGTCAGTCAGAGGCACCATCCTTAAGACAGAGTTACAACTTGTAAAATTGACGAGTAAAGGTAGTCCCCCTGACAAATTTTCAGTTCAATCGTAGTGGCGTCACTTCTCATTCCTATTTTTTGTCAGAGCTTCTAGTTCTGCATCTCATTCCCTCAACCCCACTTCACATCCCCAATTTACCTATTCTCATCACTATGTTCTCATTTCCTCCAATGTCGCTAAGAATGTGTCGCCTGGTATGGCTTTAGTGTGCATAATTACCTGCTCCACCGGTTTCAGATGCCGTTTACAGGGCTTCGGGATCGTGACATCTGACTTTCATTTAGCTCTTGATTCCGATCCTCGTTTGTGTCACATTAAATTATTTAAAGGCATGTTATCTCATACCTAGACATCTCTCTAGGCTTCAGAGCTATGACCTGGTTATACAATTCTGGCAGTTATTATAAATACTATGACAAAGGACTCAGAACTTGGTACGTCCAGAAGGTCTCCCTGTCAATTCGATCAAGTTGCGAAAACAAGGACAAACCAACACTAGAGGTAGCAACAGTGATCAAACAAACATTCACACAATTTTAGTCCTCATTTCTACGAGCTAACATATATTATTATTTTTTTTTCTCCAAGATGGTTAGCGCCTCCTAGCCACAGACTAACCACTAACTGGGAAATTTTAATTAATATTGAATTCTCTATATTTTTTTTAAAATATTGCTTTTTATTTACCCGTTAATTTTAACTAAGTGTGCGGAAAATCGTTAAATTTGAATCGATTTTTATGTATAGTATTTCCATAGCTCATTACTTTAAAAATTCAGTGGGTCCCTTAGTTTCTTCTTTTTCATTCACTCTGCTTCTTTCAGAATTATCGCATTGTTTCTTTGAGCTTATGTTTTACTGGCTAATAAAGTATTTTATACATTATACATTCAGTCCATTGTATGCATCATCATTTCCAGAGTAGGACTGTGGACATGGTATATCCCCAGACTTTTCGCCGGCATCGTAGTAGGCATCATCAGTGAGTCTCAATATTAGTAGCACCATATTCCAACTCGTCAAAGAGACAAGTGAAGCCCATCCTTTGACCAAACGTGAGCTAAACAGTTAGAGTATCTCCCCTTCTGCCCCGGGCTATTCACATTTCCTATATCCTCCTATCACGTTTTCCCTCTTTCAATTTTTACCGTGCCTATTTCGATGTAGTGTGGTGTGCTCCTTTGAGCGGCTTTCACGAAAACCATTCACACTCAACGCTGTCGTTATCACCCCCTTTACCCTTGTGCTGGAAATGTTGATCATAGTCTGCCATATTGTTACGTAGTTCTTCCCTGGGTCCTATCAAAGTCTCCCTCTTGCCCCGTCGAATCCGTCTCCTATCTCCCTGATACATGTATTTCGCTCTTCCCCTG